CGTCACTGCCAGAAATTTAATATTACAATCTCGGTCACCTCATAATTAATTTTGCCTCTATAATTTTGCTAATGAATAGGAAAGTCGGATCGAATGCCAAACAACCGAAAGCCCATTGTTGAATAAATGAAACTATTTTGTTTGAGATTCTCGACCTCCCTCAAGGACGTTCCCGTCATTGGTTGCAGAGGCACAGAGACAAAAGACATTCGTTTCAAGAATTCTATCCTTAGATTGGGACTTATTAGTTCCTTCCACTATACACCACCACATTGCACACAATCTCTGCACGTTCTATCGACAAATTACTGGATCTACATGCAGAAGTGTGTCCTCCACTGCCTATCAAATCTCAGCGCTAACGAGTAACATGTTATCCTCCGATATCATAAAGTAATCCAAATGATTTGAGTTGTAAAGAATGAAAAAGAGAGAAATTAAAAAGCGTTTTGGCTGTCAACAATCTTTCTTACAAATAAGTACCTAATTTGATGTGGGATGCTGTGCTTCTTGGCGCTCCTGCCTTCGCTTTGACCAGACCGAGATCAGAGATGCGAAGGTAATTCGAAACCGTTTGGACATGGCAAAGTATATAACAAAATTGCACGGATACGAGACGACAATTAGAAGATTGCAGACTTCACGTACCTAGAAATAAAAAAATACAGAGAAATTGTGCCGATTGGTCTGCATGCCTGTGACATTGCAACTTTCAAAAAAATTCAAATGGATAATAGCTTGGCACCATCAAATTCATCCTCTTTGTTTGCGAGTGAGAACGCATGCATACCTTCCACTATTAACGAAATGGTGAAGCTTTATGACGCGGGAGGAAGCTACTACTTCACTCCGATGCATCACAGTTGCTTTCTCAATGCTGGTGCAGAACTTAAAATACAATTAATGATTCAGAACATGAAGTAATTGGGAGTTCTCGTGACTACTTTGTGCCTTAAAATGCTTGATTTTGAAACGACACGATTTTCACTTTCTGCTGCTAGTACCTTTGCCAATTTTCTCACTGCTGACCAGTGCAGCAGTGCCTTGGTTGATGTCGTCACGGTTTTGTCGGCTTCACTAACCTCAGCAGCTAGTTAGCGAATGCTCACCGCATTGCCAGGCTTCTCCTTCTAAAAGCATGCAGTTTTTCGTTGTTTGCATTTCAAAAATCTTTGGCTTTGTTACACAGAATTTCGACCCCTGCAGTAAGCACGCAGTTGATTTGAAAACACAAAAAAGTCTTCAGCTGCTAACCATACTTATAAAGACTTTGCCAAATGTTGGAGCTACAAGGCAACCTAATATGGTTCTTAAAGTGTTTGACCAGTTTCATTTTATTTAGATGCTGTGCGTTACAATGCCGCAATTATTGCAGTTGTGGGCTCCATATGCGTTTTGACTCACCTCGACAAAGAAAGGCGGCGGTGTGGCTTGGAATGCGAGGAGAAGACCATACATAACAACGAGGACAGTGGTAGGAATCTCCACAACTAGAAAAAGTAACAGAACCACCAACATTATCCTCGACGTTTTGTAGGCATCTCCCCTGCTGACTCTTTCCCTTCCCATGCGTTCACGAGGTTTATTCTCCTCTAACTCGATGAGTGCGTCTTTCAGCCTTACCTTGTCAGCTAGCACTTTTACCTCATTGCGTTTTTTCAGCAGTTCATTCCTCTTCCTGGCGATGCTCTTTAGGGCTGCCATCATGTTGGCAGTGAGTATGCACAAAAGAAGACAGGGGCCAATGTGGACTGTAAAAGCACGGAGCAGTAAAATGGCAAATTGTATGGGAGGCTTTAGGGGAGTACATTTGAACAACTTTGCATGAACTCCGGTTATAACACCGAGGCTGTCCGTACATACCACTGCGCCAACATTGAATGTAGTCAGAAAGTTGTTTGTGTTGTGGAGCAAAGCTAAAATTATAACAATAGCTACACTGGTTGAAACTCCTCGATACCGACAAATGGCGTAGTTACGAACGGAGAGAGGTTTCACAACGTAAATGAACCTTTGTATGGCTAAAATAACTGTTAGCCATATAGAAATTGTATGGAATAGTGTGGGGAGGACAACGGTGCAATAGTAGGTGAGGTAGGCCTTGCCTTTTGTGAGATTGGTGTCAAAGTAGTCGGTTAGGAAGGCGGTGAATATAGGTAGGGGTAACAGTCCAGTGAAGAGGTCTGCTAAGGAGATTGCAAGAAGGAGGAAGTTGGTGGGGGTTCGCATTGTTGGTCGATTAAGTGTTACGCAAAGGAGGGTGTTAATTATGATTGTGAGAACAAGTGAGAAGGGGAGAATGCATGTCTGTACAAGATGTGTAAATGGTCGATCTCTAGAAGAGAGTCTTCGGAGCCAATCACAATTGTGTGGTGCAGGTGTAAGGTGGGCCAGATCTACCAAGCTGCCATTTGTGACATTGGACTTCGCCAACGCAACGAACGAATTTTCGCTGGGCAGAAGGAAATACTTCACTTCTTTAGAGGTTGTCAGTTCCAGACTTAACAGTACCTTAAAAAGGAAAAGTTGCAAAATTCTATCCCTCAAATCGATTGAGGCATTCGCAATTTTACTGGATAGCATATCACTAAATTGCGAACTTCATTGAACAAAATAAGAACAAATAGGAATTGTTTCCACTAATTGAGGCATTTGCAGCACTGAACAGAAAATAGGCAGGAAGGAGTGCCTTTGCAGTGCAATAAAGAATCAAGTTAAGAAATAGAAAGTTGTGTGGTCGAAAGATACATACAAGTAGTACTTTTCAGTAGTCTCGTAAGCCCTTTTTTTTCGTAAAAAAATTGATAAACATTTCAAGGCGGCGTATTTTGCTACTCTAAAAACCGACATTATTTACGAGCTCTCGCACAGGCGTGACACACACTTAAAATTTTTGAAAACATGCAAAAGGGCGCTAAGTTAATGTCCTCTCCCAAAAAATACACTTTTGTATTGCACATCAACCAAGGCAATTTGGTGAGCTCAATGGGTTTTCCATTAGTTTAGAATGTTTAAACCACTCCCATGTGTTATCACTGAAATGCCTTCGTAAACATTTCAAGCACAGTGAAGTGCCAAAAAGACAAGGTTACTCACCTTTCCTACAGCGAAACTTTTCCCATTGCCCAAATTATATTTTTTAAACAGTCACACACAGAGGCCTTTAACCCTCGGCAAGTCCAATAGTTTGAGAGGCTGCCAAAGGGTGTGAGAAAGTGGCATAAAGTATGAAACATTTTGAGCGCTGCAATTGCGCCACATTCCGACCATAATTAATCAAGTGATTCCGCAGACTTTCAGGGTTCAAAACCACAAACGTGTCTGAAATCTGCCAATGGTATTGAAACTTTGAAATTGAGTTTAGATATTTCTCTCTCGTGGGAATGGAAAAGAGTTTCTCTTTTATTGATGTCGATGCAAATTATAGAGGCATCCAAGCTCTTTAAATAATAATGCTTCTCGTTATCGCCCATACTTAAAGTTACCTAGTACATAAAATGTAAGGCTTAGAAAAGGTGGTGTTTTACCATGGCTTACGGGATATTCTAATGCTTCTATGCTAGCATACGAAGTTTTTTGCTGGTCTCGACGCCACATACCTTTAAATTTGCTGATTTTGTTCGACTTGGCAACTTCAAATTTGTGGTTGTAGATCTGCAAGGCAAGAAGGCCGCAGTCCGACCCTCAAATCATCATACCATTTCCGCAAGCGCAAAGTGTGCGGTTCTTCATTTCACCATACATACAATTAATTAATTAGCACTTCTATCAGACACGATATTTCTGTTGCATTGACATTTTCTGCTCACTCACCCATATTCACAGACTATTTTTATGACGCCCATAAAGTGCACTCATTTTCGTACCGTAATCGCAGGCCTCCTCTATCTATGCACAGTGCAGAAAACCATAAATAATAGCAGATTGGAGCATGAAAAAAACAGTACTAGAAAGCAATATAATAAAAATTCCTGCTATGCAGCACCCAAAAGGAAATGGAGTAAATTTAACTAAACAAACCTTGTTGTGAAGGAACATGGAATTGGATTCATTTCCATGACATATTCTGAAGGGATCACTCATCTGATTCGATTATCCAATCGTTTCAATGTCTCGTCTATGGCATTCTGCGAACGTTAATGCTTGAACCATCTACCTTCCGCATTCGTTCCCTTCTTGCGATTGGCGGCTGACTGACCAATCAAATGAACGGAATCATTTGTTGCCCTTTTAAAGATATAAAACAAATCGAATTTGGGGCCTGAAGAATAGATAAAAAAGTGATTAAATGGCCAACGGGAGATTAATGCGAAGCGCGCCCTCCGGTAGCGCAAATTGGTTCACTAATGCACAAACAACCTACATAAGTGATTTTATCCATCGGAAATTCCCGCATGATGGAACATGGTATTCTACTGAACACTAAGTGTTTGGGGTTGTGAAGTCTGGTAGGAAGGCTTCCTACCTGTTGATCTGTTGCATCGTTCCCATTCAAGGGCACTTATTGTTCACTGAGTTTTACGCAAAAACTTGAGGGTGGAGGGTAATTGGCCTCTGCAGAGTTCACATCTGCTATTCAAATGTGGTAAAATCAAGTGAGGCTTCTCATAGGATTGAGGTAACAGTACTTTCCATACACAATCAAGATTCAAGCAGTTGAGAGCAATGAAAGAGGACAAGTGAATTTTCTAGATGTGTCACGGTTCTTGGAAAGCACCTCCACGCTAATCGCCTTCTCGCTTTCAAGCATTTAATAGGGCCAAATTAAGCGATGAAGTGGTTGGACTTGCTCATGTTTCGACCGGGTGCCATAAAATGAAGCAATGCGAGAGGCCATATAAGAAAAAATTGTGTGACAATAATGGTTCTCGCTTTAATCTCAACATGCATTTATCCACATTGTCGAACACAGCATAAACAATCAAAATTCAAATGGCTTTTGGCATTGTTTCGCATATATAAACTATTGGAAACAATAAATGCTATACTGGAACAGGTTCTGGTTTTCGATACTTTGAGTGGTTCAACTCTGCTCTGACGTTGAGCGTTTGAATTTTCGCCTCCATAAATATGTTATTCTGATGCAAGTATCAGAGCCAAATGGATGAACAGGTGAGATTGCATTATAGTGTGGCAATCCCTTTCTTAACTGATTCTGTACTCCACTTCATGGACTTGAAACTCAAAATAAAAAAGTCAAGTTATTATGTCTCACGGGTTCCGCCTAGAGTCCATATACTTTCGTAAAGTGGAGCATTCTGGGAAGAGAAGCATCTCTTACACAGATTGAGAGGATGTCGAAGTTTCTATTGCACCGTCGTGATTCACATGTTTGGAAAGCGACCTTTTACTAGGTGAACTTATTAGCCGCTTTTCGATTGCAATGGGCTTGGCGCATATTGGAAGAAGTGGGTCCAAAACAAAGACGCCTTCCTCGTTTTCGTGACAGTTTTTGAAGAAAGGGTCCACAAGCAGCTTACACACTGACTCATTGCCGAAGGTCTTATTATTATTACTATTATCACTGTTATATGTTTGATTAATTAGTGGGAATGGCGATTCACAAGTTGGCGCCAATCCTTCGTACTCTCCTGGCTCAAAATTTATACAAAATATCGCTGGTGACCCCGACTTATTCGGGACTCTGAAAGTAAGTCATGTTGTAATTTCAAGGCTCACTGTGCGCAGTCCCTATGTGGACGTGAGTCTCGATTCA